TCCTCAAAGATACTGTAAATATGGCTCAGGCTTCCAACAGACGCACAGTCGAGAGCGGTCGTAACTTTTCCTCCAAATTCAGATAAAGAAAGATAAAAAATAGGAAAAGAAAGCTATTTTTATGAAACGATAACGGCAGAAAGAGTGACCAAAGCTTTTGATAACGCCATAAAAGTTGAGAACAACTGAACAAGATACTTTCCTAACAAATGCTCCCTTAAATGCAAAGTCAAATCCATTTACCTCATCGTCCATGGTAGTCAGTGGAGGACTTTGAATCATCATGGCACGTGCAGAAGGCAACTGATAGTAAGCGTAGCCGCGTTGCTCTGATTGTGGGCCTACCGAACCCGCATCCACTGGAGGCGAACGTCCACCAACCCCTCCAGACCATGGTGGCGTCAACTAGAAAGTGAAAAAATTTGGTTTAACTAGAACATAAAAGCACTAAAAGTTTTAATCTTCTTAACTGAAAAAAGTGAGTTATTTCTGCTTACTAAACTAAATAGTTATGTTTCGTTTCACCACACTTTACACAATAAGCTCAAAATAGCTCAACTAATCGAATTATGGCAAAGAACAGGATTTAACACACATCATTTGATGACTTAGGAAAAATCATCTATACCTCATTAAAAAATAGTAAATTTTTGGAAGGGTAATACCTGATTGAAAATTGTCAAAGTACCTACATTTGCTCATTAAAAAACGAACATGAGTCTAAAAGCTTTTATAGCAAGTGTTGATCCTCAGATTGACATAAAACTCTACGTTACACAAATGCTTTATAATCAAGCTCGAATAAGAGTTAATGTGCGAGTGACACATACCCAGACAACAACTATGTTCAACAGGCTACACAAAAATCTCCCTCATGGTCGCCACTATATCTCGGCAAATAACAGCGAATCTGCAAATCGACGGAGATCCTAATAACACATCCATCGCGTAAGGGGCAAAAAGCTCATCGCGAAGTGATTTTTCGTCCACTTCGCTCAACACGAATCTCAGTCGCGTGCGACGTCGCCGCCACTACCATTAGCAAACATAGCGACTCATACCGGAACGGCGATCTGATTGAACTCGTCAGTGCCAGGCACGAGGAGGTGCAGACCTCCTTGTGCACTTTGCGATCGTCGTCGCAGGAAAAAGCATGCGTGCAAATGTAACACAACATGCCAACACAAAACATAAGCGCACTGATGGCAGGCAGTCAAAAAAGCCAGAAAAACTGGTCAAAGAAGCCTTATGCACGATCTTGGAACTAAATCAAACTATAGCGAAACATAAAGTGAAACAAAGTCAGAGTTGATGCTAGATCATTCTTTCATCTACGCAGACCCATTTCAAAAGATTTCAAACCTTCAAAAACTAAATAAACAAACATTTTTTGTGGCGCATACAACCCGATCATCCTGTTAAAATCCTCCGCAATCAACGATAACTCTTCAAATTCGCGTGGAATTTCCGCACTAGTATTGCATTCAAGGCAGTATAAGCAAACCACACACACATACA